TTCATAAAACTTGAAGCATGCAATGTCAAAATTGTGAGTGGTAGGACAGTGGCTTTCATATATTCTATGTTTAAATGCATGTTTTTCAGCAAATCACAGGTTTTCTGAGGGAATAAATTAGTTTTAAATATTTATATTGTATGACTGTGAAGAGATTCTTTCAGACAGCGCTGCACTGTCTACAGGTATTCAATTTAAGCGATATAACACCATTGCTTATCAGAGTAGCTGTAGGCTTTGCTGAGACCTTGCAGAATGAAGACTGGCTACAGACTTACAGATGTTGGCTTTGTTTTTTGAGAGACCATTTTCTGCTGAACCCTATTTTGTGGGGTAAGAGTCTGAAGGAATGTTTAATGCAGAAAGAAGGAAGGACCAGAGGTTTTTTGTTTTTTTTTTTTTAGCAGTCCCTGAGATTAGTGTATGGCTACTTGAAAAGATGAACTTCTTTCTCCAGTAGCCAAACAGCTTGAAGTCAGATATCCAGATTAGGATGCAAAAGATGGGAATCCCAAGCATAGTCCCTGTTTGTCCCTATTGTGGCCTTATCATTTCAATGGTACTGACTGATGGCAGCAGGACTGATGTCAGGTGTTACAGTCCTAGCAGAGTATCCCTGTTCCAATGCACTTGTGGTACCTGCACACTTCTGTGATCTTTCTCAAACACACTGAGCATTTCTTTCTGTAGCAATGGCATTTTAGCTATCTCTGTACCTCTGCTTTATACTGGCTTTCTCTTTATAGTTAAGTGTCTCTGTGTATTGAATTAAGATCAGTGTATTTTTTTCCTGGATCACTTTCTCTACTATGTGCAGCTACAAAACAGTTGTGCTGTGGTCTAGACTATATTGGCACAACAGTGAGTGTGAACAGCAGGGGGAGGAAGGAATAAGGAGGGGCTGTGCAAGTTGTTCTGATGTCCTTGGAAATCCTCATCAGACTTCTTGTGGAACAATGATAATTCTCAGTCTGCTGCCATAGCTGAAAGAAGGGATGAAGAATGAAAGAAATGTTAGAAAAGGCTAACAGGAATGAAAGCTTTATTATGGTACCTTGTGGTGCAAGTATGCTATTGATAATGTTGGAAGAAAGAACTTAATGTAATAAACAGCACCAATTCACTCATCTCTTCCTGTAATGGCCTGGAAGTAGCAGCATGGCTGAATGATGAAACTGCTGTGATTTAATCTTTGATAGTCAATTCAATCTTGAGAATGACATGCTTCACTCTTTATTACTGTTGATTTCTTAGTTTGATTGTACTCTATCAAATAATGAATTATACCACTACATAGATGCTGTTTTTGTGAAAGTAGTTTGTGTACCTTTGCTGTAGCTAACACTTGTTAAGCTTTAGACAAAGAGATAATCCTGTTTATGGTGTAGATGCTTGGTAGCCTCAACAAGCATACATAATTGTGCTTGCCTCAGAGGAAGTATATGGCTTTGGAAGCTCTTTATGTGTGAGATTTCAGAAATACACATTGCCTTTAGCAGGGCTGGGATAATCAGTTACTTCTCAGAGCAACATCAAAACTACTTAGCTGTTAGCAGATGTGACCATGTAGCACCTTCTTACATTCAGTATAAATTTACCTTGAGCATTTCATGCTGCCATTTTCCTGAGAAGCTAAAACTGAATTTGAAAGGAATTCTCTGAAGGTGCTCTAATTCTGTCATTGTTTACATTAATATATCATTGCTACCTATAAAAATCGAATTTTCTTTAAATTCATGTTGTCTAGCTATCACCTCTTCACTGCTTAAATGTGCTTCATTGCAAAATATTCACAACCTTCCTTAAAGGAAATGAAAGAAGAACAGTTTTTATTGCTGATCCTAAATCTTGTGTTTAGTATTTTTGACACTTTCATCGTCATTGTAACCGTCCATTCAGCAGAAGGGCTGTAGAGCTAAGTTGGTGTTTTTAAGGATGCAGTTCTGCATGCACCATCCAGGCCAGAGTTTTCATTCTTCTTGTATAGAGATTTTTGGTTGAGGGTCCACAGTTGCATCAGTGCAGATGATACAGTGGTGCAGATGGTTGAGATTTGAAGTGACCTTTCAAGGTCATTTGGTCATGCACATCTAGAACAGGCTGCCCAGGACCAAGTCCACATGAATTTTGAAGATCTCCAAAAAAGGTGACTCCACAATCTGTCTGAACAACTAGTTGTTGAATGAACAACTAGTTCAAGAATATCCTAACCTATTGCAGAAAATAATCAGAAAAAATGCATGAGAGATACAGTAAGACTTTGCAGTAAATATTTTTTTCTATATACTTGAGATGCATGGCTTCTGCTGGCAGGTATTTGGCTAAGGTATGTTATGACTAGTCTGGTATCTGTTGGAGCAGAAATGCTGCTTAAAGTATCCTAAAGATTTAGACACTAAATTATTTTTCAGCTCCTTTGAGTTCAACTAAACAATTTTTCCATGAGCTAGCACTGTGAAGCATTGTTACATAGGGTGGATCTCTGTTCCCATCAATGAAAGTACTTCAATTGTGATTAATCAACAATTGTTGAACCCTAAACTTACCCTTAAAAATGAGATAAGAACAACCTAGAATTGTTTGCATGTCCTGTAAACATCCAGATTTCTGCCATGTCAATTACTAAGGCTTCTTTTCTAGTAAATACCAGTATGTGAATTTCAACTGAAATGAATTTTTATTTCTCATATAAATTATCACGTGGCTTTAACTACTTCGTTAAGTTAAATGAAATTATCCAACAATATTGCTTGCTAAATACAGAAAACTTTTTAGCTTCAAATGCTTTTACGCTTGTGAATCTAGATAGATAATCTCTTAAAAATCCCACTAAATACTAGGAAACAGGTGGATCCTTAGCACAGTGTAGTGTACTCCTCTGCCTACTCCTGGAACTTCGGAAGGAAGCGTGTCTAGCACTGTGCACATGCATGGGCTGTGTTAATGTGTATAGAGCAGCTGTGCCTCCCTGCTGATTTCTGTCTGACCTGTGTTTAGCCAGGACTCATCTGTGATTGTTGTGAAGCTAAATAAGCTCAAACTCTTTCATAACATCAAGTGCAATGCCTCACCCTCTCGTATGTACATTCCTTGCAAAAACGTGTGGCAGAAGAAGTTTTGTTTGACATTCACATTCTTGCATCTGTTTCCCAACTGGTGATTCTTTTTAGCTTGAATTTGCAAAAATTGAGGTGTGGATGCTGAATAGTATCCAAAATTATGCTTATTTATTAAAAAAATCTGTAGAAAACAGTCCTGCTGTCCAGATCAGACTTGATCATACAAAATAGATAGCATATCCTGGGAGACAGAGTGCCACCGCCTTCATTAAAGCAGTCTGTTGTGATGTTAGCCAGAACCATGCTGCAGTCTGTTTGGCAACTGCAGCTATGGTTCCTGGAAGGAGGGCATAGTAATTATACTGCTGTCAAATTAGTTTGAAATATTTTGAGGCAAATGCAAATTGAATCTAAATGAACCTCCCCATCTCAGTGAAATTATTGAGATTTACGTGGAAAACTGTCAGTTTTGATGTTGACCTAATGACAACAGGGAGGGGAATTCCTCTTGCCTTTATTTTTGCTGTTGCTGTTACTTCTTCCTTGCCAGCAAACAGCATCCAAATGGCAGGTTTAACAGATGTGTTTTGTATTTCTCCCACTGCATTCTAGACTGCAGTAGTCAGGGAGCATACTTAACTACGTTGAAGGAAGTTTAGTCTCTTGATGACTACCCATGTCATTGAGGTATTTCACTCAGCTTTATGCTGCCAGGAATTATATCCAGAATATTCATAATGTGTTATCTCCAGTTCTCATTAGGTTTTATTACTCTACTTGGATTCATTTAAAAAGCCTGAAGTCGGGAACGTGACATCATTCCACCCAATTAAGGTGCAATAATTATATGGTCAGCATGTTCAGAAGGTGTCTTGTGGCACATCTTTAAAATTGCATTTTGAAATTTCTTATGAGAGGGGATTTTATTTAAGCCTTAGTAGCCTTTTGCAGTCTTATATTTAAGCTGCTTGAAAGTCTGGCAAGCATGTTGTTTGTGATGTCACTGTTACTGGAGTTCTTTATTAATGTAAACATTTTTTAAATTTCCATTTTTCTAAAATTTAATCAGAAATACAAAAAGATCAGCCTGATAAAGGCCCTTTAAATGATGTATCTTTGCAGAACAGCCATTGCTTCTAGATAGGCATTGCAAAAATGTGATTAACTGTGGAACTTCCCATAAATGCACTAGCTAGTTTGTTATTCACAAACCGACTTCTTGACTGTGCTGATATAAAATTAAACACTTCATTTTTATTCTGGTGCTTTTTGTGTATTACTTCCTTGAGATTATCAAGTCTTCGGCCCAAAATTATCTCTCTTTGTTTAGCATTTCTTCTTCACCTATTGTTACTTAAATGTGTGGGTCTACAAATTACAGGTGTGGTGTCCCCTGGAGTACTGCATGTGTCTCTGCCCATTTGTGGTTGGTACTGAAGTAGCTGAACTAGTACAGAGAGCTGTGGTTCATCTTTCATCTTTCACGTTCACATTAAAAGAAGAAGAAGCTGATGGTTTGTTTAGAGTAGGTTTTAGGGATACAAATAATTGTGATACAAATTGTGTCACAACAGTCTGGTGATCCCTGCTAACCCACTGGAGTTTGCTTCCTTTTGTCTGTGCTGTGGGTTAAGTCTGGATTCTTGAAACTACATAGCAGTAGTTTTCTTCTCCTTCTTCAAGCAAGAGCATAAGCTCCTGTTGCCAACTCCTTAAAGCACAAATTTTATGGCTCCTAAAATGATGGAGTAGCTGAAATGTTTCTAATTCATGTACCTGTAATTGATTATCATATCCAATCACCAGTACCCTTTACTTTGGTATCAAGACTATTTTAGAAACGATGAATCTAAATGAAAGATTGGGATTTCTCACTCAGCAAACAAGATACTAGTTTCTCTTGGATTCTGTTCTTACATATATTGTTTCCTATTTCTGCAGCTTCCGATTGCTGAAAAAATTAAGACCATTGCTCAGAAAGTATATGGAGCGAAGGATATAGAGTTATCTCCTACTGCACAGTCACAGATTGATCGTTATACCCGGCAGGTAAGAGCATCAATAAAATATGCCACCAAGTGCTTGCTGGATGAGGCTCAGGAGGCCTTGGGTTGTAAAATGTTCTGTGATTGGAATGTTTAGATCAGCTTTATTAAAAGACATGAGCTTAGCCATGATACTTAACTATGCAGGCATGTGTGAGTTGGTTTAGATTGGATTGAATGGAACAGAACTGAATAGTTTCAACCTTGAAAACTATCTTCCTATAGCATCCATACATATCTGTGTAAGATATGAGTGATAGTTGGAATTCATCTGGGATTGTTGATGAAATCTTACGCTCTCTTTGCAAAGTGGTAATTTACTGTTATTTCTCTGAATGCAACAACTGCATACTTGCAAAAGTAGTTGCTAGAGAATCTGCACAATTCTAGCATATTAGTGTTCATTTGTACCTGCAGAAAAGGGTGCACAGCTTTGCAATTTAGTAGTAGCACTCCCAACACTTTGGGAATTGTTTGCTTTCCTTTTGTTCATGTTATTTTCAAGGGATTATAAACATTAGAAAGTAAAATAGATCACTGTTCCTAAAACATAGGAGTGTTCTATTTTGAAACAGTGTAGAGAGGTGAATGTATTTCTGTAAACAGAGTGACTTCTGGAAGTAAACATGGCTGGAGTCTTTCTGTTAGAAAATAGAAACTATGGATGATGTGTCATGGAAAAATTCCTTAGTATGCTTCAGCGACTTGGCCAGACAAGCAGAGTTTAGCCATCTTCTCTATAATGCAAATCTCCTGAGATTTAACTTCATTTTCTAGATGGAGAAGAAGCTTGCTTAGTCTACTTGGAGCAGAATAACCTATTTCTTTCTCTTTTCCCACTGAGATTCTCTAATCCGCTTTTAGTCTAAATGTTAGTAGTGTCAGGAAATACTTTCACAGTGTCATTAAAGAACTGCTGTCAGCAATGGGCTGCAGAGTGTAGTACCGCCTCTCCTGGCCCTGTGAATTGCATCCTTGTTTGTCAAGGCGTAAAGAGAAGAGTGGAATGTGCCATGCTCAAGGTTAATCAATAATCTTGGAGACAAACAGTGTTAGGGGAGCTTCCTGATGTTTTCTCCCATTTTTCGGCTAGCTATTACGTTTTCGTAAGTAAAGTGGCTACCATCGCCTCACACACTTTGTGCTTTTAAAAAGCATGTAAAGTATCACAAGCTTTTTATTTTTACCTTTGAGAAGACTCCCTTAGAGGCTCTGGGGCTATGAATTCCCATTTCATCTAGGTATTTAATTAGGTCACTAGATTCCAGAGAGAAGTGCTTGACCACTCTTTCAGAAAATAGCACACTCTAGCTATTCTATTGGCAACACTTTGCACCTAATTCTAGAGTGAGAATTCACATGAGAAGCTGGGTATAACTACAGGCAACTCTCTTTGGAGAGAACTTTGGGCCTGAACTGAGAGAGGATAACATAAAATGCAATATTCTGTCAATTTCTGAAATTTTAGCTGTTAAGGAACTGAGGTTAGTTGTTGATACATGGATTTTAGGTTTTATAGAAATTTGATGACAAAGTGAAAATGTATTCTGTGTTACTGTAATCTTTTATTTTCATTCCATTTTTGGCTAGGGATTTGGAAAACTTCCCATATGCATGGCAAAAACTCACCTATCCCTCTCCCATCAACCAGAGAGGAAGGGTGTTCCCACTGATTTCATTTTACCGATTAGCGATGTGAGAGCCAGTATTGGAGCTGGGTTCATCTACCCCCTGGTAGGAACGGTGAGTATAGAGCATTCAACTTGATCACTCCTCTTCTTTTGATCTAGCTTGATGTGGAAGTACTACTTTGTCACTAAAAAAAGCGTGTAGAACCAGGTAAGTTATCATTTTTTAATAATTATTTTATTCCTTGATGTTGTGTAGCTATATGTTGATAGAAAAAGAGATTTAGGAAAGTATAATATATAAAAGCTCTGGCTACAGGATGTGAGAGAATTGTTGCTGTTTCTTATGTTTTTGAGATACTTAAGCACCCTCATCTTGAAAAAACTACAATTGCATGGCTGTTTCCTTTTGTTATTCAAATTGCAGCTTGTAAATAACAGTAGTTATGTGATCTTGGGGCATTCTGTGATTCTGTGTTGGAAAGGGTGCATAAGGATCATTGAGTCAAGCCATGGCTCCGCATGGGACCACCCAAAATCAAACCCTATGTCTCCTTAAACTCTGGCACTTGGGACCGTGCCTACTGTACTGGGTAGCCTGTTCCATGCCCTATGGTGAAGACCCTTTCCCTAACCCAACCTGACCATCCCCTAGCACAGCTCCATGCTGTTCCCTCAGGCCCTATTGCTGTCACCATAGAGCAGAGCTCAGCACTGCCCTTCTGCTTCCCTCTGTGACGAGCTGTAGCTGTCCCCTCAGCTCCTCTGCTCTGGACCAAACAAACTAGGGAACATCAGCCACTCCTCTTATGTCTTCAACAGCCCTATAGACCCTTTGTAGTCTTTGTGCCTCTTCTTTGGATGCTCTCTAATAGCTTTATGTCCTTCTTACATTGTGGCACCCAAACCCACACCCAGTGCTTGAGATGAGGCCACACAGAGCAGAGGAGTACAGCCACTTCCTTCAGCCAGTGGCAATGCTGGGCCTGATGTACACCTGGTTACACTTGGCCCTTTTGGCTGCCAAAGCACTCCACTGGCATGTGTTCAACCGGAACCCCCAAATCCCTTTTCATGGGACTGCTCTCCAGTCCCTCATCCCTCAGTCTGTATACAGATCCAGGATTGCCCCAATCCCAGTGCAAAATCCAGCACTTACTATTTTTAAATGTCATGTGGTTGGTGATTGCTGGCCCTCTAATTTTATCAGGGTATATCTGCAAGCCTTTCTACCCTCAAAGGAGTCAACAGCTCCTCCTAATTCAGCGTCATCCACAAACTTACTTAATATGTATTCAACTCCTGTGTCCAGATGATTTACATATTTGTATAATCATTGAAGAGAACTGGCCCTAAAACAGAGCCTTTCAGAACACCACTGGTGACTGGCCACCAAACTGATGTAGTCCCATTTACAATTTGAGCCCAACCTGCCAGCCAGTTGATCACTCATTGTATTATGTATTTGTCTAATTGAATACTGAATGTTTTGTCCGGAAGGATACTTTGAGAGACAGTATTGAAAAGTTAGCTAAAATCCAAAAAATTATCATCTGCTGGCTTCCTTTAGTCAACTAGATGGGGAGATTTTTCATAAGAGGAAGTTAAGAATATATTCTAAATATTAAATCCTTCATCTCTAACATAGTTAGATGAACGGAATCGAGTCAGGAAAAAGTGCAACAAAAGAAAAATTGTGTTCCTGTGGGATCTGATGAGCCCAAGACATTATGAACATTATGTCTGCTTGTTCTGTGTAACTAAGTTATAGTGGGAAGGGTATTGGTTTGTAACTGCAGAAATAACAACACCTTCTTTCTCCTTTTTAGGAGAATGAATGAATTCATTCAATGAATTACTAAAAAGAGGAAATTGTCATACTTTCTTCCTAATTATTCATTAAAAGTACAGGCTCAGATTAAGAAACTCTTACTGTTTTGTTCCCTGACATGGCGTATCAAATTGCTGAGAAATTACTGCTGTGTTAGCTCATGCCTTTTGCTAACCATGCACATCTTCTTTCAAACAATAGTTGAACTGCATCTGACATCTCATAGCAGGAATTATTACTTATATGTAGCTGATTCATGTGATGGTGCTAGAGAAGGGATGCAAGAGCTATTGCATTTCCGGAAGAGAGTCCTCTCCCAATGTTATCTCATCTTCCCAGAGCATGGCCTTATTTCCTTGCCTAGTAGTACACTTAGCAAAGGCTGAAAGTTTCTAATCTATTGTTTTGAATTCCCTCTGAAACAATCAAGTGTTTGAAACAAGGAAGGAAGTACTTTCTGACCAGAAGAGTTCCTGGAGTTCAGGAAACTGTGTCACTTTAGCTCACTGGTCATAGGGATGTGCTTTCCTTCTGTGTGGCTACATGATGTACATCCACCAGAAGCAGTGCACAGCTGTGTGTTTAAGTAGTGTAAGACCAAACTCCAATTACTGGTAAGAGAATACAATTTGTCAGAAGTTCTTGTATCTTCTTCATGGCCTGGATTCAAATTTGCACTGGAAATTGTGTGTCATAAAGTTGTGAGGAGTGTATGTGAAGAATGGGCAGCAACTGCTTGAAATCCATAAGGGAGCTATTCTGTAGGATGTCAGAGTGAAATGTTCTTGGGCTGAGCTTTCTGAATGAGTCACGTTGCCCTCCTCAGCATAAACTAGCTGCAGTTCAGCCTCATAAATCCACTGGAGTTGTCCATAAGACACCACTATTGACAAAATAATTTTAAGTGATGCCTCTTGTTTTTAATTCATCACTCAGAACCAAAACTATGGTTCTTAAGAAAAACACTGTAGATAGATAGATAAATAGATACAGAATTTCCTACTTGAGGAGATTTTTAATAATGTGTTCTAGTTAGTTACTTTGAATTCAGTGGAACATAGAATAGCCATGTAACTTTTCCTGCAGCAGGAATGGAGAAGGTAATATACTTTTAGTGTTTTGTATTTTAGGAGAGTTTATAGAGCAAGATAATGTATAAAGATCTAAATATGCACTAATCGTTCATTGTTTGGAAAATATTGTTAATGGTCAAGAATGTGGAACAGAACATTTCTTGAAACTATTGGAGTTGCTACAAATCTGAATGTATGAACAAGTCTGAATGTGTTCCTAGCACTTTTGTGGTACAATTCTTTCTCTAGAATTAACTGAAGGGCAAGAGATCCACTAATTAAATGTCAAACTCCATTCTCAAAGTGTATTATTTACTGGACAAACTTATCTCACTCTAACTTGGCAGAACTTACCAGTGGTAAAGAAGGTTAGAATTCTGCTCCGTTTTAACTGAGAAGAGCATTACAAATGGAAGAGAGAAGTACTTCTGAAAGATTAGAAGCTATCTGCAGTAACTAGCATTTGTAGTTTAGCCTTGTTGTTAGTACACATGCATTTATGTATATATCTCAGCACTATTAGATTTATATATATATTTAAAACTAAATAATGTGTTATCTTCATATTCTCGATGTAATATTTGTTTTGAGTAATACTTGGCTGTGGTTCCCTTCCAGCATAGTTGTCTTTCCAGGAAAAGTGAGCTGAGCCTTATCAGAGGAAATCAGCAGTGAAACAAGAGGTTCATGTAATTAACACTGGCAGAGCTTTTCTCTGAGTTCTCTGTGACCCTGACCCAGAGGGCCACAACACTCTCACAGGTGGACTGTTGACATCATTGCTTGGCTCAACAGAGTGATGGCAGGAAGGCTGCTGGAGTATATGTAGGAAACAAGTGAGGTCATTCACTAGCAATGCCTGGGTGGAGTATTACTACATTTTAGTAGTATGCGTGTTTCTCCCCACCCCCACCCAAAAAGCTCTTGCACTTTGGTGCTTTCTCACACTGAGCTGTATTTCCGTTGTTCTCTTCCATGTGATGTGCTAGAAATTAAGCTCGTCTTAGAAGAAAAGCTTCCCTTCTGTCCTGCTAAAATATTACCTGAATATTCCAAAGGGAAAGAAACATATGAAAGTAAATCTGTTTTGAAACTTTGGGAAGGAAGATACTGTTTCCTGCTAAATTAGTTTCTTCTTTCATAGTGGTTAATAGCTTCACAGTGCCAAATAGCTATTTGAAAATATACTACTAGCAGCTCATAGGTTTTGCATACTGGTTTTGAGGTAACTGCAACAAGTGTGGGGAAAAAAATGTAACTTTATAGCTTTTGTTTTCAATTAAACTCAGGAGTGAAATTGTGCAGTTCTCAACTGAAAAACCCTTAGAAAAGCCTATCTGCTCTCCTATTAGATTATATAGTATTTATTATGGTAGGTGTAACTCCTTCTGAAGAGGAGGAAGAAAGGCTTTCTGGATTTCACTGCACACAACATTCCCAGTTAAGATCATTGGCAAGAAGATGAGGTGAGAACAGTCAACTTTAGTTCAGTGTGTTTAAAACCCAGGGGCTAAGAAATGGGTGGTGTAGCACTAGCAAATGATCCATGTTCCTTGGCAGATTGCATGATGTGGCTGTATTGGGTTGGCCAGAGAGAGTTGCTGTAGATGAGGCAAAACTAGGCCCAAGTGAATGGTTCAGCTGAAAGGGCAAGGTAAAGTCTGTAGACTATAGTAAAAAGGGCTACATGGGAACATCCCAGGTGTGTGGACCAAGATACAGTTAAGAGTCAAGGATGATTGTGTCCCTTTGTGGTGAGAAGATGAAAACAGAAAATTGGGGAGAGGATTAGAATTGTGGGTTTGGCTAGAAAGAGAAAGAAGTTGAATTGAGAGTTGTACCATTGGGAGGAGATATCTGGGGAATTATTTGAAGATACATCCAGGATATGCATGGAGAACTGGGAGAGGGCACTGAAGTCACAATAGTAAGAAAGACTTGAAAATGTTCCAAAATTGTTAGCTGAAACAATGGCATGATCTAAGATCTGTCCAGGAAGAAGTTGTGGGAGTAATTGATGGGTGTAAGAGAGAGCAGAACATGCTTTACCTATGACTTGGGATTTATACTTTTTTTTTTAATGGGAGAAGAAAAGAGTGGCTTGAAAAATATATCATCCTCTCCATGTCTTTTGAATGGCACGGCACTTAAATTCCAGGTAATTCAAATCTCTCTTGATTGTGCTTTGTGTTTGGCAGTAAGCACTATTTA